TTTGTTAGTCAGATGCGTACATACGATTCAAATCCAACGCTGGCATTTAGTCTTCACGAAGTGAAAATGTCTAGCAACTGTTATTTTACAGGATGTCATCATGATCTGTTATTGGTTGGAAAATCACCAGCTATTTCACCCTAGTTTGCGACTCGTCACAGTACGCACCTACCGACAAGCTTCGAACCCAAGACCTTCCGGTTACAAGGCCTAAGGTGCTCACCACCACCCCGTCCACCCAACCAAAAGATGCATCTTCAGTTCAAACCTTACTCCACCTACCAAGGACGGGGGACAACTAAGTAAGCAGTACCACCGACCCTTACACAATAGGTGTTAGTCATTCCTAACAAGGAAAGAAAGCGAAGATAGGAGTCGGTGCCGCATTTTGCTAACTGTCCGCTATGTATCAATAGGCTCGTATTCGCAACAGGACGAGAAAGATGAAAAGACAACATAAAAGTGAAGAATTAAATCATTGTACGGCAGCCGACTATTAGATGAATCAGATTCCAATGCCTTTTTAATTTGTTCAACAGCTAATGGTATAAATGATTGAATCTCATCATCTATTGAACATTGATTTTTCACTTTTATAATATCATTATTCTCACTGTTCAATGTTTCAATGGTATAACTTGGAAATTCCCATAAACCAGCTAATAGGCCTGTTTTAGGTCTTTGATAGTGAATGAATTAGTGTTATGAACAACATTGATGTTGTCTAAACAACATCGAATCAATAATATCAATAGATGACAGCTCAATACTATCAACATAACAATAAACTGAATGTCAGAAAAATTAGGAAAGATAATAATACAAATTCATGAATTTATAGTCTCTACTGAAGGCCAGGGCAGTAGTAGTGGCTGGCTAGACTTGCTTCTTATGCACACAAAGCACTGGTTGTTTCACACGAATTGCGATAGCCTCTGCTGCTTGGAGCATGCGGTACTTCGGTGATTTTGACAATTTATTAGGCACTCGGTAGATGATAGAGAAGGATTCTTCAATGCTGGCTTGGTGGCTGGTTTGGACCAGATGGTCTAATATGGAACTGTTAATGGATTTTACTACGCTTTTATTTGACCCTACTAGGAGATGGATGTTCTTGAGAACAAAAAATCAAGTTCATAGAGCAACGTCTTCTATTGGTACGAGGTTTTATTCAACAGAAGGGGGATTGTAAATGCTTGCGTGACCATGTTTCACTTGTTTTCATGTTTCCAATCTCTGTTATATTCACCCGCATATGTTAACTCGTGTTCATGCGGGTGAAGATAGTTGTTTGAACTCTAAACGTCCTACTTTTACTCTCCTTCTTTACTTCTTTTTATTTGTGGTGTTTTATGAATAATCTCTGAGATCATTTTTAAGAAAAATTACTTGCTGGAAACATTGGTTAACAGTCATACCATATTGTTTACTGACAGAAGTTTATTATTCGCGATGAAATAATAATGTGGTGACAATGCAAACTATTGTGAATTTGACTTGTGAATATGGACTACCTGTGTCAAACTAGAACAGTTTTCTGTTAGTTTTTTTTAACGATCCTCTCCAACTGATGTCAGTCTGCAAACTTCTTTGTGAAATATTAATTATTATTATCAAATTGATTATTGATTGTTGTTTAAAAATGACTTATTAATATGATTTTCGATTGCTTTCATCATTTCAAGTTGAATTTTTATTTAAATGTGCATTGATTATTTTGATTTTTGGTTTAGAGTGTTTTGTTTATCCTGTCATTAAATTGACGTCATTAACCTTAAATTATTATCAATGTATTCTTTTACAAACAGTTAAAACAATTATGGTTTACCGTAGGTGTAAGCATTTATTAAAGATTTTGGATTATTAGGGATTTTGATTCATCCTCCAGTGTGGGCTTCATTACAAATCGACGTCTCATTTTTTTAAGAGAAACTTAGTAGTGGACATCTGTTTCGTTCTAGTTAAGGGCTGTTGAGCCAGTATGCACCCACTATCGCACCAGGAATTGAAGGTGGAACATTTCGATGGGTACGATGGGGTGAGCCGACTGACCATTCAACCATTGGATTAGGCAGCAGTGAACTATGGAATCTCTGACTGGTGTCTGTTTGTGACAAAATTTACATTGGAATATGTATTACAATCGAGGAATTTTCTATGTTCATAAGAATGGATACTGAACAAAGAGTACTTTTTCGATAACTTCATCAGGCTCTACAGCTATATATATACATTATAGTGAATGAATGGATTAGTTTTATGAACAACATTAATGTTTAAATAACATCGAATCAATAATATTGCTAGATTACAGCTCAATAGCATCAACGTAAAATAAACTGAATGTCAGAAAAATTAGGAAAGATAATATTACAAATTCATGGTTTCTACTGAAGGCCAGGGCAGTAGTAGTGGCTGGCTAGACTTGCTTCTTATGCACACAAAGCACTGGTTGTTTCACACGAATTGCGATAGCCTCTGCTGCTTGGAGCATGCGGTACTTCGGTGATTTTGACAATTTATTAGGCACTCGGTAGATGATAGAGAAGGATTCTTCAATGCTGGCTTGGTGGCTGGTTTGGACCAGATGGTCCAATATCGAACTGTTAATGGTTTAACTACGCTTTTACTTGACCCTACTGGGAGATGGATGTTCTTGAGAACAAAAAATCAAGTTCATAGAGCAATGGCCAATATAACTCGCCCCACAAGCGCAGTTGAATTGGTAGATACGATTTGAAGTGGCTAGTCTTGGTACTTCATCTTTCAGTCGAGGTAGCACCATCGGTCGTGTAGAGAGTAAGGCATGGAGTTCGCCAGCACTAAAAGTTCTTTAAACTGATTTTCTTAATTTCCTCGTAATTATCTAACTTGGTATATCGCCCTTGAATTGTAGTCGTATATAAAGAGGCTTCTTGTTCACAGATAGTGAGGAGTCCTTTTCAGCTTTCTTTGTCATGTTTGTATTAGACTTAAGGCGTTCGAAAGTGGCAATAACTTAATTTCTGCTGGTAATAAGTTTGAATTGGGATTCTATTGTAATCCATGAAACGTTACTCCACAGAATAGATTTTAATAAAAATGCACAATGATATTTCCGGTATCTCTGGTATCAGTGTTGCGTCATTCCTGTTCCATGTGTTGGATGTAGATTCTACGAACAGAGATTCACTGATTTCTCTCTCTCTCTCCATCTGTCTGTATTTTTTTTAGAGTTGTATCTATGTTCCACCCTATTGTGTAATTGTGTGTTAGTACATACGTAGCGATTGTTGAGTTTTTCTTTGAGCACTTGATCTTCGTAGGGTAAATTATTCTACATTTAATTAAATTACTACATTCTGTGTTTTTTATCACATACAATTATTCTATGATGCAATTGTTTTCTACCACAACACATAAATTCTCTTCCTATTTCAAGGAGATCATCTATTTTGGTTTTCGTAATTTGGTACTGCTTGTATGCTTGTTCGCTGGCCAGCGGGTCACATATATTGCATGAACACTGACTGACTGACTGTTGTAAACATAGAACTTTGCACCGATGTGCAGAGGTTCAAGTCTCCACACTCCATGTAGCACACAAAGCAAGAGAAGAAAGTAGAAGAGATACAAAATAGAGACAGCAGACAGGGATATGGCACAAAAAGAATAGTAATAATGAAGAACAATTTAGTTTCATTGGGTATTATAAGTTACAAGGAGTGGATGCATCTGCGCCATTGAGAACGATTTTGAGCCATATCACCGATTGTCCCCAGCCATTGGTTTTTACTGTTCCGGAGACCCCAAGCAGGAAGTCTACACCTTCCTACGTGAGTTAAACTACCTGTTGTGGAATTCATTGACTGGTGAAACCATGTTTTGGTTTGACCTCCGCCAGCTCTTTTCCAACCTGACCCTATGTCGGTTAACATTGCCCATCTAAGAAGGCGATGGCTAGGCATGCGTAACACATGTCCTAACCATCTCAGTCGATGTAGCTTCGTCGATTGATTTCTCCTCCTTACCAACCACTCGACACCTGACCTCAGTGTTGCTCACCCTGTTGTACTACCTAACATGGGAGATAGACAGCTAGCCTGACTTTTCATGTCTTCCACTCTCAGTGGTCACGTTTCACTAAGGTAAAGGAGGACGGAGAGGACTGCTGAGAAGTACACACGGTCTTTGGTTGACGGCCATCCGGATATCACGTCTACACCAGAGACAGCGTAAACTGGCATATGCGAAACGCGCCTTCTGTATCCGTGCTGCGATTTCGTCAGCAATCAACTGGCCGGCGTTGGCTGATGAAACTTCCCAAATAAGTGAGGTGGTCAACACGCTCCACTAACCACTTCACTCTCTATTTTTAGGCTGGGAATCAATTTAGTCCAGTCCAGTCCTGTAGCATCATCTTACATTTCGCGGGAGCAAATCGCATGACAAACATTCAAAGATTGCAGCTCAAGGTGTTCCGAAGACTGCATTTTGTCAGCGTCTTTACCTTTAAAGACTACATCATGTGCATATTCTAAATTGACGAGATTATCCCCCGGTAACATGTCGATCCGTGAGTCGCTGAAGTCAGCAGTTAGGGTTAAATTCCATTAGTACATCTATGATGAAATGTAAGAGAAATGGGTATAGTGGGCATCCCTGACGGACACCACTAGTTGTCACCACTTCAGATGACAACTCTCCATAGGCTCTCACCTGGCTGCATGAGTTCGAGTAGAGTGCTTTGGTTAGTGCGATGTATTTTCGCGGCATGAACACTACTCCTAGTGGAAGACTGTTGTAATTTTGCTAAGTGGAAAAATGTTCAAATTTTGACACAGGTTAAAAATCAGTGAAGGTCTAAAATTAAAGGTTTATCCGTCTAATCCAAAATTACTGTAGATTTAGAATTAAAAAAACATTTGTTTTTTTCTAAATCTATTGAATGTGATTAGTTTCTATTATTTTTTGTAAAGCATTATATGTTTTCAGGTATTTTCTTAAATTTCCTTTCACAGAAATTTACAAAATACATCCCATTATCATTGTATGATCTCCAGAGATGGTTAGGTGCACCTGCAGTTTATGTGCTTGATTGTCAAAATGCTGGCAGAATTATACAAATGTATGAGGTGTTTTGTGAACGACGCAAAGCCGAGGTAAAGTCTGTCAATTTGACTTATTTGTTTGTTATCTGCAATTCGCCTCTCGAAAATTATACATGCCTTCTTTTTTGTATTACGTATTGAACACAGTTTTGAGGTTATAATAGAGTATTGTGTAAGATTTTGCGTTCTACAATTGTACCTTATTATTTTGGAGGTCAAAATAGTCAAATCTATTCAGCTGACTGAAGTTCATCAAAACAAGTTGTATCACTTTCTCACGTGATCTTAGTATGCAAATTTCTATGTGATGGTTCTACGCTTTTCCCTTATGGCTGTTTTCATCAGTACATAGTAGACCGGTAGCTGTCAAAACGGGAAAAAGACTTTTTCCATGCTCGTTGACACTTTCCATCATTTGAAGTGTACGCATCGGCAATATTCTTACACAGTTATGCACGAATAACATATTATGTGATGTTGCAAAATAGTGGCACTTCGATGTTTGATGTGTGTGGGCGTTAAAGTTCGAAAATGTTGGAACTGATTGTTATTATCATTATTATTCGTCCCTTCTGTTCATATTGGAACTGATACTGAAATATGGTTCTAAGTCGCTATTACAGCGTCCCAGATTATCGGTCGTCTTCTTGTTTGTTTCATTTGCTAAGTTGACTGGCAATTAAATCAAGTAGGCTGTGAATAAGTGTATTTGTATGATATGCATAAGCATGCGAAAATAGTTTATATTTCCATCTTTAGTTTTCAAACACACTGGCGAATTTCGCATTATTTCGAAACCCATTTCTTATATTTGGAATTTACTTGTTGGAATTTGAATCTAACTTGATATACGAGAAACTGCCTTAAACACTCAACCTTCATCTAAAATCTTGGTTCTGAAATCTCTGTCGATTTTGATTTGGATAAGTAGGTGATACTACTATGGACGCTTACACGTTCCCTTTTTGTGGGCTAGTGGAAATGATTGATTCCTTTGCGCCCCCTTCGTGGTTATATGGGAATGGTTCATGATCTTCGATAGTTTCGCATAAGGTCACCCCCGCCACTCATTTGCCGTGGCTTTGGTAGACCATGAGATGGTTAGGAGATTGGCTAAATTTAATGGGTAGTCAGTCTGTGGTCGAGGTTGGTCCTTTCATTGGTTAGTCGTTCAGTTTGGTACGAGAATAACAATAATATAATGGCGCAGTGATACGAAATAATGTAAAAATAATAAAAATAAGTACGTACCAAGGGGTTTTGCATATGTGCGAGTCATTGGGAATTATGAAACTCAAAGGCGTGGTAAAGGTAAAGTTTCCCTTTGTACGATTTATTGATGAGATCCCGTCTTTTCGTTCGTAAATTCCAAGATGTGAGCAGCAGGTGTATGCGTGGCCTATTCCGTGAGATGAGCATGTGACCTTTTGTGTGTGTCATCGCGGTGGAGCAAAAGGCGTACATGTTGACACCTGTAAGATAGCGAACTGTGCTTGGGAAGGTGGAGAATTAGTGATTCTGACGTGCGGTTCGATCGTATAACATGAATTTAGGAGTATAAGACTAGTCGAATTATCTAATAGCTGGTTCCTTCTCAAGTTTCCTTGAGGATAGCTGGTATTCTGGTCAAGCTATTGATTAGAAGCATTGAGGAGAAAATGTGCTCAGTCTATTCTCGAAGTTTTAATAAGCGACAGTCTGAAACCGCTTAAATGGAGTTCTAATAATAGTAATAATAATAGCTTTATTCCGAACAGTATATATATATATATATATATATATATATACAGAATTCTCAGTGGAATTTATTGCATGATATTTTCTCTTCAGCCACGATCTTCAAATAAAGTATTGATTGGCAACACTGCTATCTAGCCTGAAGCGTGAATCATGATATCTCTTATGTCCCCTTCGAGTAATGCAATGTCAATTGTAAAAAGTTTAGGAGTACGTTTTGAGAACCAAGCAAACAACTCAGAAACGGTTATGTCATGTATTGCGATAGGTTGCCGCCATGGATTATGCTTTTTCTTCGGTTTAGTCGAAACTTGTGAATCAGCAGGTCATAAACATTTTAAATACTCACCAGAGTAAATAATACTAATAGAGATCATATTTTTTTTTAGATTAATGGAGATTTGTAGCTCAGGTGGGTGATATTGAATTAGTTGTGTTCTGTGAGCTGGTTGATTTAATTGCGAAACAACATATCTGAAGACATTAACTTCACGAGAGAAGAAGAAACAGATAACAGAATTCCTTTCCTAGATGTCTTAATCAAAAGAACACAATTATATGGAAAATCAACGCACACAGATCAAATACTCAACTGTAGTAGTGTGGTGAGAGCAGGCTGCTAGCCGATTGGTTGGCACTAATCTACGTTAAGGTCTAGGTCACTAATATGGGCCGTGAGAAAATATGAACAAGCCTGAGTAAACAACCAATCAGAAGCCTGCGTTTGTCTACCTAAACAACCAATCAGATGACTGCGCTTGTCTATAATAATGTAGTTGAAAGATGTATAAATACGTGTTGATTTTCATAATAAAACGATCTGTTGCCTGGCCCTTGTCTTCTGTTGTTACATTTGGTGTCGCTGCCTACCGACAAATGAAAAGCCTATACCCTGCAGTTTTTGATGGAGACATATGGATCTTCGGGCAGGACTTCAAGGCTTCTGCGCAGTTGAGTGGCGTTCAAGATCTGTCAGCGATGGAGCTGCTACTTGAGACGCTGCTGGGAGGTCGGGCGAAAGCAGCATATGAAGGTGTGGGCCGAAGTATGGACGAATGTTCGACAGGGTCAGGCAAACAGTTTCCAAAGTGGGAAGGACCATATATGGTCACTTTGAGATGGGGTTACGCAGACACAGTCGCAATGGCGAACAATGAGAGGCGCGTGAACGTCAGCGAGCTCCAGAAATGGATACAGCGAGACAAGCCAACGATGACGCCTGCACCAAGTAGATCAAGCCGACATCAGTCGCACGTATTTGACGGGGGGACGAGTGTGGTGAGAGCAGGCTGCTAGCCGATTGGTTGGCACTAATCTACGTTAAGGTCTAGGTCACTAATATGGGCCGTGAGAAAATATGAACAAGCCTGAGTAAACAACCAATCAGAAGCCTGCGTTTGTCTACCTAAACAACCAATCAGATGACTGCGCTTGTCTATAATAATGTAGTTGAAAGATGTATAAATACGTGTTGATTTTCATAATAAAACGATCTGTTGCCTGGCCCTTGTCTTCTGTTGTTACAATAGTAATAACTCAATTACCCACAAAAGAAACTGCAGACATTGTTTAAAAGAGTTTAAATATACTGTATCAGTCCAGTGTTGGGGAGATTAGAGAAAAGATACCTACTAACCGTATTTAAAAAGAATGGGTATCCTCATAATTTCATCAAAAAGTGTTTAAACTCGAGTCACAACACCCAACAACAAGCCAAAATCAAAGACAAGAAAATCCATCCTACCTTATATGAAAAATATCTCCGAAATAATAGTTTAGAATATCAAAGACTGTTTGAAATAGATATAGCACACAAGCCAGCTAGTACAATCACTTCATTCGATATTGTGGGCACCAAAATATCCGACAGAAAAAGAAGATAAAATTAATATCTTTTACAAAATAAATTGCATACATGAACTGCAATAGACGTTACATCGGTCGAAGTGGGCTTCCTTTCCGAATACGAATCCAAGACCACAAATTAACTGTGAAAAAGCATGATATATATTGTCTCATATCAGTGCATGTAGATAATTGTGCACATCAATTTTAAATAGAGAAAATACCAAAAATACAGTCAGGGAATTTGTGGAAACCTCATTGGTACTCAAGTGAATCAATCAACCAGCGATTAACAAGCACGACACTACAGACCAAATTTACCAGCTGCTAATAAAAAGTAAATCATCACATGACAAGAGTGTTCAAATTCCAAATAAAAAAAACGACCAATAAAGACGCAAATTAACAAATACTCACGACAGTGGTTACCAGGAAATATGATTAGATCATTCATGGAGAATTTATATAAGTCCATTTTATACTAAAACCTGTACAGAAGATGTGTAGGAGGGAGACGACAAAAGCTTCGCAATTGAATCAACCAGTTCAGAGAACGTAACTAATTCAATATTATATGCGGTATGTCAATAAAGAATTTCTACAGCCCAAGTTTTAATCAATTTGCTTACAGTGAATTTGAGTACCAAATGCTTCATTTTGTCTACAGCCTCCATCTGTTATTGAATAATTAATTGAAAACAAATTTATTGAAATCAATTCCGAGTTTTCGGCGATTTCAGTTTATTAGACCTTAATGCTTGCCCTTTGTTGATATATCAGCTCCTAGGACGGGTTTTTCGATAATGGCTTAAGGTTAACTTGGTGCTGTTTGGTTGATGGGGGTTAGCAGTAGTAGTATGCAGGACGCACGTTTCGTCGTATGTGGAATTTGGCTCGATGTGCCACCATCCCAAGTGGTAAGTGATGGCGTGTCCACTGAGACCCGAACCCCACAGTGCCCATTGTTTAGGTTGCCAAAACGTTATCAACTAGGCCACAAAAAAGCCACAAACAAAATTTGTCAACAAGTTATTGGTCTGTGTCTATTTTTCCAATTTTTACTGAACTAAAGCAAAAACTCAAGTACTTGAAGAAGACTAAGTTTACAATGTTTTAGTGCGTTTCTATTTTATCCTGATTCACAGGTTTGATGATTTTATTAGTTTCCGAGAAAAGCAAAGTATTTATGAAACAAAGACTTCGTCCACTTGACTGATGAATAAATTATTGACGTATTTGTTGGGTCGATGATTGAAATAAACTAAAAGCCTGGGTTATAGTGTGATTTAAGTCGGTTTCCAACTAGGTCATCATTTCACTGCAATCAACACTGGTCAATACGGTTCTATTGTGTGTATTGGCGGTATCTGTTATTGTCTGTCTTAAAAAATAATATCAACAAACGTTCTATTTCGTTTTCTCGGAAAAAACACATCTTATAAAATTCTCTAAGCTTTGATATTTCACATAGGGCTGAAAACAGAGATTTGTCCTTATAGTTTTGCGAATTTGCTGTAATCAACAAATATGACCAATCGTTAGCAAGGTGATGTAAATACTGTGGCACAATTCCTTCTGATTGATAACACATTTCATCGATTGACTTATTTGAATCAGCTTATTTCAGTGGTTTTAATTGTTAGGATTGTAGCTAAACAAACAACAATCAAATACATGTTTATTCACCTCACAGGCGGTTGTCTACTGTATGGGAGTTGATTGTGGCTGCTCAAAGTCTGGGTAAGTATAGCTACAATGTAAGCAGTTTCACACAATTTTCTGCTTAAAGCCGAAATCCCACGGATTGTTATTAGTCGTTTGGTTCTAGTCGATATGATTTGTTCGGAGGAAGACAGAGAGAAAATTGGGTCTCCTTGAAGTAGAAGATCAAATCAGATAATATCGATAGTATCTACAAATATAAAAAATCTGGCATGTTTTTTAACCTTATGTATTGTAAGATGATTCCCTTTCTTTATTGTATTTACACTGTCTCTACTACTTAGGAAACTGTAAGACATGCATGTGTTTAGTACTACTCCTTGTTCGCGCATTGTGATATCGGTGAGGATTTTTTCTTGTACCTATCAGTCGGTGTTTGTTGTCATCCACCTAATTTTTCCGTCCTACAATGAAGTCTAAAGTTCGACTATTTATGTAATGGGTACCTTTGTAGTCCCGTTGTTTTCATCCGTAAGACAACCTAATATGCTGTCTTGCCTGTGCGTGTCTGTCTGTTTAGTGTTATATTAGAAACGAGAAGCGCAGTTGTTTCAGTATTGTAGTTCTATCTGCAGTGGTAGAGTTGATAAACTAGTTGTTTTGCATACTAATTTTTTTCTGTTCTCTTATTGATTTTCACTGGCTAGTTGTTTGTGTTAGTAAAATATTCCAACAAAATAATGAAATTTACCAAGGTCAATTAACATATCAGTTCAATGCATGCATTGGAATTTATTGAAGTATATATTAGTGAATATATATATATATATATATATATATATATATAAATGACTATCATGGTTCAATGTAAGATGGTTAGACGTGACCAGCAGAAGCCCCTGCATCTAGGTTTTGTGTTTATCTACACTCCTCGTATGTGCAACTTGGAGGGGACTGATGCCTCCCTTGGAGATTTTGACCTGTGTAACCCAGTGGTGCAGTCAACAGCGTTGCCACTGGGCTATTCAGATTCACCATTGACTTTCCATTGTGGATAAAATGTGATAATAATAATAATTCACTTTATTCCAAAAACTACTTGTGATACAGAATGGAATTTTCAGCATTAATCACAATATTGCATCTAATTTCCTCAAATTATAAATAAAATTAATCACACAGAAAATTTCCAATATTTACAAAGGGCTTGTTGCACACAGTATTGTCATTGCGGTATAGAAATCCTCGCATGTTTAAAAATATTGAATATAATGTTTATTTTTTTTATTTTTGATTACAGCTTGATTCCACACTGTATTTTTGGTACAGGTATGGAATTTTCAGCGTGGATATCGGTAGCCCAAATTTCGCAGGCCGACCATAGATATCAGGTGTGCGTCGGTGTGGGCTCGAACCCCGGACCATGTGCATGGTTGACGAGAGTCCTAACCACTGTGCCACCAACGCACAATGTTCCCTTTACATGATATGGTGAGGGTTAAAACAAAGATTACAGCAGTCATGGAGATAAGTTGGTGTTTGCAATTATGAGAGTAAAACAAATAAGCAACATGACCATAAATATAATAGAAATAATAAAGTTTCACAGTGTTGTACAGCTTTATCAAAATAAATTTTATCCACAATGGAATTATAATTACTCTACCACAGTGTAAAAGTTCTATTCTTGTATCACGATTGACCTACTATATGGCTTTAATGGGTACACTGATTGATCTTCGGGAATCTCAAACAATTTAGAGTTAAACTCCATTATGGATAAGATTTTATTTTGATGTCACACAGTGTTACACAGTCATATTAACTGATGAAGTTTCGAGCACAAATTGTTGCTCATAATCATATCAAGTTACTCACACAACTTTTTCCTTCATTTATATACATGTGTGCAATCGAATAGATATTTAGATAAAAATCAATATGAGATGATGTACATTCAGAAATAATAATATGAGTGTTATTGATGAATTACAATCAGATGGGAAAATATTGCTCTTAATACATTTAATCCTACTCCTAAAATATGGTGGAGATATATGGATGACACTTTCATAGTGTTAAAAACAGAACACAAGCAGAGGGAATAAAATTCACATTTGATTCGGAAAATAAACAAGGAGAATTAGCTGTTAGACTGTAAAATAAAACGAATGGAAAAAGGTAAACTACACAATAACGTTTATACAAAACCAACGCATTCTAATAGATATTTAGACTTTAATTCATCTCATCCTTCAACTGTTAAGGAAGGCTTAGTTAAGTGTTTAACAAACCGAGCAGTAGCACTAAGTAGCACAGAAAAAGGACCTAAATGATGAAATGAAACAGGTAGAAGAAGCGTTGGTGTTAAATAACTATCCTATAAAATTCATTAGAAAGATCGAAAATGATCAGAAGCAAAATAAAAATAATTGTGAAACTAGTAATGATAACATAAATAAAAGAGAATGTAAGTCATCTACTGTTATACCATATAAGGAGAACCTACGTAGGATTCTTAATAAAGCAGGAATTAGGGTGGCATTCAAACCTACCAACTCACTCAGAGACAAGCTCTGTAGGCTAAAAGACACGGTGGAGCCAATTAAACAAAATAATACAATTTTACAAAATACCCTGCAATGACTCTGCGGTCAACTATATAGGTCAAACTAGTAAATCAGGAGTAATCAGATTGTCGGAACATAAGAATTTAGCCAAAGTAAAAATGATTGACCCGGAGAAGATAAGTAATTTAGAAAAAATGCTCAGCAATTGGGCTACATGCATTAACACACAACCACACAATAGGGTGGGGGAGGGTTAAGATTCTAAGAAGTAATCTATGTAAATGGAGAGAGAGAGATTGATTACTGAATCCTGGTTCATTGAGTCTACTCCCAACACATATAGCAGAAATGACTCAATGCAAATGCCACAAATATGGAAGATATTGTTACCGCCAGTCAAATCAGAGAAGGATAATAAATTTCAAAATCCTATTTCAATTCAAGCATATCACAACCTTCTAAAAAGTTACTCATTATGACTATAAAAACACGTCGTATTTCCCATCTGATTGTAATTCATCAATAACACTCATATTATTATATCCGAATGTACATTTTCCTATATTGATTTTTATTTAAATATCTAGTCGATTGCACACATGTATATAAATGAAGGAAAAAGTTGTGTGAGTAACTTGATATGATTATGAGCAACAATTTGTGCTCGAAACGTCATCAGTTAATATTACTGATTTTTGATTTTTGTTTACAGCTTGATTCCACACCGTATTTTTGGTACTAGTATGGAATTTTCAGCATGTGATATCGGTAGCCCAAATTTTTCAGGCCGACCATAGATATCAGGTGTGGTTCGGTAGGGGATCGAACCTCGGACCATGTGCATGGTCGGCGAGAGTCCTAACCACTGCGCCACCGACGCACACACACAAAAAAATACTCTGTCCGAAGACAGCTGAAAAAAATGAGGCAAGACTCATTGTATTGTGCCTCCCCACAGAAATCTTTAGTAAAAGGTGAAATATTTATCCCTAAATGAGGAGGCACTAGAGTGTAACTTTGCGACTTATCAAAATAAAATCTTATCCATAATAGAGTTAAACTCTCCCACAGTACCCAAGTTTTATACATATATCAACTAAGAGTTTGTATTTAAAACCGGTCATATTTACTTAGTTTTTTTTTCATGGATTACTCTTGGGGATGCAGAGTCACTTTGATCCCTATTGTTTTAGTTGCCTCACAATCATTTTGTTCTAATCTGGTTCAAAAATCTTTGTTTTTCCTAAAAATAAATTTTTTAGGCAGCTGTAGCTGAACAAAGACAAATGGAATATGATGGGAAAACTGATCAGTCAGAGCTCTTTCAGTCTAATCATCAAGCACATGGTGCACCCTATGAAGGTGCTAATCACTCAGATGCACACATTCAGGTAAACAGATGAATACGTCGTGTACTTTTTATTTTTTATTTGTTTCAGTACTACTCTACATTTTAAGATTTTTATTCGTCAAAGTTATGTTTATTCATTATTCTGAGTGAGTTACAGCATTCCTCTTATGAAATACCAAAGCTGCTGAATCGTGGGGTTCGCTTCCTGTGCAACAGATTCAAGTAACTGATGAGTTTTAGATAGGATAAGGCAGCTTTGATTCAATGAAAAACAGAACACATAGTTCAGCGAAGAGTCTGTTTTCGGCAGCGAATCCATTCACGTATCTGTACAGTCACAATTGTATATAATTATTTTTGTATGTATGTGTCAGACAAAGATAAAAATTAGTTAGAGGTATTGCTTGCCTCATCAAAATCTTCCAAAAGATGTGATGAATAATCAAATTGTAACTGCAGAAGAGGATGCACATAGAAGCGACAAAAATATGGAAACATGTAGCAGTTCTAAAGAAATACAAAAGTTATAAGGACTTAGGGAAACGAACGCATAAAAATCAAGTCAGTAGAAATCAACATGGTTGGTACCATGATAGTAGAAATGGTTGAAGGATTTTCTTTTGCATGCATAACTCTGGTTTTCCCAACTGAGTGGCTAAGGCTTAAGCAATACAAAGAAGACAAAAGCGTGTTGCCTTTGGTAGGTTATTCTTGAATGTAGATTACTTTGAAGGACTCGTTTGTTGAGATGGAATGTTTGGTGTTAGCAAGATGTTCGATGATTGTACTCCTAACAGAGTTCTGACTACCGTTTTTCAGCCATGCGGGATAGTGTTGTCGAATCCTTTTGAACTAGATACGCATCGAACGACCGATGTACCTGGCTCCACAGCAACAAGTGAACTGATATATGCACATAGAAGTGGTCAGATGCTAGTTCTTGTCCTTAAGGTTTCTGCAAAACAATGGGCAACTGGATAACGCTACTCTTAGAGTTACTGCGTAGAGTGTTCTTCTGAAAAATGATGAAACTCTTCTCTTAAGCATGTAACAGGCTAAGCCCCCATTTAAATCCAGGTTCACATAAAGCTTCTGTTTTGTAGTAAGCAGTGTTTCATTCCTCTGGACTTTTGGTCTGATATTCTTGTCAATGAATCTTGGTTGGTATCCATCTGAATGAAGGTTTCTTTAAGACGACTCAGTTCTGTTTCCAGGCCATCAGGACTGCAGCTGGGTGGGGTCCGAGTGGCAAGGAATTTAATTAGGTTTCGTTTTCGTTCAACTCTTGTTATATAACTGTTAGCCGTTGCTGACCAGTCCTAAACCCATAAAAAAGGGGTAGTTGTGTGTGAGTTTGTAACTTCATTCGGTGAAAACACCATGGTTACTGAAGCTTAAAAGCACGAATAATTGCATGAGTAAAGTAACGGAAAACATTTAGAAAACAGTATATTAGCACGTTGAATGTGATAAAGGTATGAATTGCCATAGTAATTTCGTGTTCTGCGTACTTGTGAGTTTAAATGTTAACTAATAAGTCACTTTGCCTCTGTAAATCGAAGTTGGTATTTCGTTGGTTGTTAATGAATAACATATAGATTATTGCTAGTTATTATTTAAGTTTATGTATGCTACCCTTTTTTATAATCTTACTGTTCTTGGTTTGTATTTCAGATAAAGTATTGATGATTATTATTTCCATGAATGTAATCATAAATCAGTGAAACGTAGAAGATGTAAAATTATTAGATGTGAAAGTAATCTAACATAAGCCTGTGCATTTCATTAATTTTGTGTGGATTTGGGTTAGTACCTCGTTCAAGTGAATCAAACGCTACAGTAGAACGAGGATATGTGCCAGGTATTCTTTATCCAGGGTTCGGAGGCGTATCGTGTACCATTAGTTCATGGGTACTATATTTAGGTGTGGAAGTTGCCACGAAAGAAAACATTTTCTGCAGAAGTCACCGATATTTTTTTATGAAAACAATTGAGACATGATTATTTCCCACCTCCTTTTGTAAGGGGATGCTAGTTGGTTTTCTCTGTTGAATATCACCTGTGGAGTTTAAGATAAATAGGTTGGTTGGTCGATGAACCACACAAAATCTGTAAACGCATGGGATAGATCGACTAGATATCTATATACAGTGTTAGGTAAGCTATGCGTATTAAAATGTTAGGGAAGTTAATAGTTAGGCAAGCAGAATTAAAGGATATATTATCATATATACTTGGAAGGTGATCATTACACCTTCAATAAAGCATAAACAAATAAAGCTAGTCAAACGTATTTTTGGTTAATACTAGATAATTTCTGTAGTTTTACAAATAATATTCACAGTTGTCTTCAGTGAAAGATCGATCTCTTATAAGGCGTTTTATCGATGTGCTAAATATTTATTTTAGTATTTAATTTCTGATTAAGTCTTCACGGTCACTTACAGACTTATTCAATTCCCTTGATATAATTATTTTTCTGGACAGTTTTTTATTAGATAACAAGTTTAAGTGTAGTGCTGTTGATTGGAAACGTTCACGCTCCACAACTGCTGATATTGAAGTTTTCTGTTATCATTCTGTAAGCTCAGGTTTTCTGCTTTGAGGGTCTCGCATTCATATAAGTGGTACAGTCATTATTATTGTTATTGAAAACACAAACTTGACACATTATGATCGTCAAAAGATGTGTAGTTTGTTTAAGGGCTGGAATACTGGCCGGACACCCGGAGTCCTTGACTTAATGTCTGATCCACAAGGCACTGGAGCAGCATCAAGAATTACGTTCCTATGGTTACTGATCTCCAGAATGGGATCATACGTCGTTCAATGTTTTCGGATTCTCTAGTCCATATACACTATATGTTTTGTATCAGGTTCTCCATCTTTTCTAGGTAGACTAGCACGTCGACCTGTTCTCTTGTGAGCACCACACAACCTCATTCGTTACTTGACTTCTTTGAGGGACGCTGCTACTGTATGTGAAGATAGTGGATATGACTTCCCTGGTAGTGGCTATGAACCTGTGACCACCTGATGGGATTACGAGGGGAGATTGAAGTCCATCCATTCTCAGCAATCAGGCTGTTTGTAGGAGCAGGTGGTATTGAGTGTTTAAATTAACTAATAACTGGATTAAAAACAAAATGAAAATGGAAATTTAAGCATTAGACGACTAAATAAACTCGTTTCATAGTTAGATTTCAACTGACAAATTTCAGATAGACGCTCTCACTCGTCTGAATCTGTAGTCAGCTGTAATAATATTAGTCCAATACTAATTCGAAAAGCTATAGCGTCAAAGAGTTTACACACTTACTCCATCAGTTTTAACTGGTATTCGAAATTTTGTTTTCACTTTCTGTTAAATATGTTAACCACTTACTTTACACTGTCTGTCTTCAAGTAATGTCACTGGCTTATTAATTATTTCTGCGTAGATTTTGTTATCATGGAATACTAGACAGTACTGTCTTTCAGCAGTCAATATCTTTCTTTTTTTTTAACACTTATCTCACTCATAATAGTCACTCTGTTATATATTTTCAAAGAATTGTTCATAATGACCATATATATGTAATATATAATGTCAATTATGTTTGAATATAATTGTTGGTCCCCTAATATTTCATATTCCCATTACTTTCCTGTACAGATGCCTGTACCGAACCCATCCCATATTGTAAGTATGGAGAATACAATTATGTTGGCTGCCTGTGGGAAAGACGAAGATCTGCCACAGAATCCTAATCTGCCAGCAGATTTGTTCACTGCTTGCCTTACTACTCCGATTAGAATGGCTTTACGTTGGCATTGGTTAAGGCACCAAGAATACTTCCCAGGTAAGATTTTCAGTATTCTGTATCAGTTCGTCTGCCGTCTTGGATCTAGGTTTGTTGACTGTAACCATCACTTACTTTCCAAACGCATAGTTGAACATGTACATTCCCACTTTTACAAGGGAAAAAGAGATTCTTATCTAAGCTCTAACTTAGGACATTTGATCGATTCCAACCACAAGGCACCTCCAGCGTCATCTACAGGATATGTGACAATCTCCTGAAAAAATGTATATAAAACTCCTTCCTTTTGCAGAAACTATGCCAGGTAGTGTCTAATTTTGCACACTTCGACTACAGCTAACTCTTACAACTGCATTGCATCATAAGGGATTGTACAGCTTGGGAAAGAGTCACTGAAAAGAATCACTGTGTTTTGGCATTATTTAACATTATCGTGCAAAAAGAGGCCTTTGGGGATATATTCTAAACTCCTCTTGTGTTTTATTCACTGTGACTGTAATGATTGTAACTACAGTTTTCTATTTTTGACTTCAGGTTTTTTAGATGAAGCCTTGCTGGATCGTATACCAGGTTCTCACTCAAATCGAATGTCTTTATTAGGCGAGATTAATTGGATATTCACGGCTGTTACGGATACCATTGCTTGGTGTAGTTTTCCACTGGATATATTTCAAAAATTATTTCGTCAAGATTTACTTATTGCTAGTTTATTCAGAAACTTTCTATTAGCTGAACGTATAATGAAATGTTATGGTTGTCAGCCGGTTTCAGCGCCTTTATTACTGCCTACCTATCAGCATAGTATGTGGTGAGTAGTTTCGGTCTGTTTTGTCATTTTTTGTTGGTCGAAGGTTTATTTTCGAAGTCACATTGAATAGAAAATGCTTATTGGGAATGGGAAAATGTCATCATGTTATTACTTAATGAAGTTAGCATTAAGCTGGAAAAAATTGAAACGTGTTCATATGAAGATATGGTAATAACTAATGGAGTCATTTACTTGAAGTTTTGATCATTGATCGACTTCAGTTAGAAAACCAGTGAAAGCCAAAGAGTACTGGACAACCGTTTTGTCTTAGTTTGGGACTGTTCTCCACTACTTACCCACGACCCCACTGGGAATTAGATCCAGGACTTTTAGATTATGAGGCCAAGCTCACTGGCCATTAAGCCAATTGGGCCGGATTTCGATTTGGCAAGTGTATTATATCTGACTGGCTCGCACGAAACACTGTGAGTGATAGTTTCTGAATCATTCACATGGGCATAGATGTATAAGTGAAAAGAACAAGACTGGCTAGTGCTGGTTTAAATGTTTACTGTCTACAAATTATTGATCTTGTGTTGACGCCACTGTCTTCGAGTAACGTCATATATACTCTATTAGACATGTGCTGGTCATCGTTGTGTGTTGCATGTTACGTCATTAGAGTCATGATCTTCCATTACTTCTTTGGTGACTTTCTATTTGACAAAATTATTGTGGCTTCTCAGATGGCTTCACTCTGTATCTGTTTACGAGTACGAGTACGTACTTTGTCTTTATTCTCTTTGTATTATCATATTTATTTGTTTATTTTCCCTCTACTTTTGTGTGATATTTTATTTTATTTTATTTAAACGCATAAAAAACTTGGTACAATGTGGCACCGAGAAAGATGCGTCACACAATAATAATAAAACAACATAGGTCAAAAAGAAAAAAAGGAAGGAGGAAAAAGAAAAAATATATATATAAGTGGGGAACGGATAAAGAACTTCATCTAGAAGGAAAACACTCATGCTTAACAAGTTCAAACAGTGTTCGTTAACTATCATCGGGAAGGGAAGAAAGAAGGAAACCGCAACATATTCGCCATTGATTACGATTCTTGGCCATATCCGATAACGTTTCGAGCCATCGATTTGAGCTATCTCTCGGACCCCAACCAGGGAGTCGTGACACACCAACCGATGCTAATCTAGCATAAAAATCCTTCATCCCACGACTCCACGTCATGGACTGACCACCTCTCCGCCTTTTCCATCCCGTCCCAGGGCTAGCGAAGAGAGACCTGTACGGAAGCCTCTGGGATGACATTCGCAGCACATGTCCAAGCCACCGGAGCCGGTGTTTCCAGATGACGACATTCAATGAATGGTGATCTCCACTGTGTTTAAACACACGCCGCCGAACCTCAAAATTACTCACGCGATGATGCCATCGGAACGCAAGCAATCCTGCGGAGACAGCGGTGATCGAACAAGCAGAGTCGCCGCACATCCTCAGCTCGGAGAGGCCAGGTTTCACAGGCGTAGAGCAGCGCAGCCCGCACCGAAGCATTGTATACCGGACCTTTGACAGCCAGGCTAACGTCGCGACGGCGCCAGAGGTGGCTCAAGTTGATGTATGCGCCACCCTAGCCTTCATTATGCGGTTGGAAATCTCATCCGTCACCCCTCCGCCAGCACTCAAACAACTGCCCAAATACACAAACTTATCAACAACTTCAAGCGGTTCACCTGCAAGAGTGAGTGCAGGTACAGGCTCCTGCCAATCTTGTAATAGTACTTTGCACTTAGACGGCGCAAGGCACACACCATACTTACAGACACTGATCGCCAACTGATGAAGTGCGATTTGGGCAGCCTGCATGCTATCGCACAGTAAGACGATATCGTCTGCATACTCGAGGTCGAAAAGTCTATCTCCAGGTCTGTCTGTCTGTCTGTTTTCGACATAGAACTTTGCACAAATGTGCGGAAGTTCAAGTCGCCACACTCCGTGTAGCACGCGAAGCAAGAGAAGAAAGTACAAGAAAAGCATAATAGAAACGGTGAGCAGAGGTGTGAGACAAAGGAGTAATAAAGAAAAACAAAACAGTTTCATTGGAGATCATAAGTCACAAGGAGTGGATCTCCAGGTAGCAGATCTACACTACCTTCACGCACATCCTTCAGAGCTGACTCCAGAAGGTTATCGACGGCAAAGTTAAAGAGAAATGGAGAGATTGGGCAACCATGTCTAACCACACTGTTGGTTGGGAACAGTGGTAATAGTTGGTTGTATGCCCTCACTCTACCTGAGGTGTTTCTGTATGGGGCTTTCAAGGTGTTAACAAATTTCTCAGGTACACCTCTCTCTAACAGACAGTTCCAGAGCACAGTTCTGTCCAACGAATCGAAGGCAGCCCTAATATCAAGAAACACAACGATCGTTGACCTGCAATACGTGTGGCGGTGTTCCAACAACTGACGAAGGGTGAACACATGATCAATGCATCCACAACCTGAACGAAACCCAGCCTGCTCTTCGCGAATCAATCCTTCACGTATTTTGCACAGTCTGCGAAGCAAGACAGCAGCCAATATTTTAGACGCGACTGGTAACAGACTGATACCCCTATGATTGTCACACGAATTACGTCGACCCTTTTTAAAGATGGGGACGATAATGGCTTCGTTCCACATTGATGGTACATTCTCTGTCTCCCACACCTTCCTGAACAACCCAATTAGAGCCATTGTGAGAGTCTCGCCACCATCTTTAAAAGGAGCCGGGGGTAATTTGTCTGGGCCGGGCGCCTTATGACGTTTCAGAACTTGGAGTTCCTTACGGACCTCCGCTTCGGTGGGTGAGTCGGTACTAACCGACCAAGGAGCACTCGGGCTAATGATAGTAGACACTGAAGCTGGTGGCCAGCTAAACTGTTTCCCGAAATGCTCTGCCCAGCGTTCCATGCGTCTTTTCAGGCTGGTAATTGGAGTGTCATCTGCCTCACAGACCGTCTCGCTGACACCTTGTTTCTTGCTGCCGGTGGCTCGTATGAGTTGGAACAGCTTCCGACTGTTGCCAGATGCAGCAGCTGACTCCATCTCACACGCACGTTCTGACCACCAGGCTTCGTGGTCCTTACGTAAACACTGTCTAATCTTGCGCGTGAGTGCCTTTCGCTGATTGTTCTATTCGCTGCCAGCCGGAATGGACCGGCGTTCATCCATGAGTTGCAAGGAACTCACAGAAACCCAGTGGTTGTTAGCGGAGCATTCTTTCAAGCCGAAAGCAGTTACACTCACCCTTTGCATGGCACCTTGCACATGAAGCCAATGTTCATCTATACTACTTGGGGGGTTGCTGGCAAGCATTGTTTTTAACTCATTCTGATATTTCAAAGAAGTAGCAGGTGCTACTAGTTTGCTCACATCAACGCTTAGACGACGGCTTTTACGAAACCCACCAAATCGCAAGACGAACTTGGCACACACTAACGCATGATCGGAGTCCAGGCATGTGCTCCAGAAGGAGCGACAGTCTTGTATGCATCCTCGCCACCGGAAACTGACCGCAATATGATCAATCTGAGTCCAAGCTTGCTTCGCAGAGGGAGGACGCCAGGTAGTGCTACGGCGATGGCTGTGCCGGAAGTTGGTACTGGCTCGAAATAGGTTGTGATCCGCGCAAAGCTGCAGAAGACGGTCCCCATTATCTGACCTGCGACCGTGTAGTCCCCACTGACCACCTAGACGATTCTCCTCTAAGCTTAGACGCCCGACCTGTACATTCAAGTCCCCAACCAGCACTACGATATCCCTCCGACCTGCCTGTTTCAAGAGATCGCTCAGTTGGTAGTAAAACTCATCCTTGATTGCATCCGGGCTGCAATCCGTCGGTGCATAGGCAGAGACAACAAATAGACACCGCCTATCTGGCCTACTAGTCCTTACTTTCGTATAACCTTCCAGCCTCACAGCACATAAACGGCTGTTAATGGGAATCCAGTCGAGCAGTGCAGCTTCGGCTCTAGCGCTCAGTGCGACACTGACACCAGCTACGCCGGATGCCGACGCCACAGGGTCCCCGGATAAGCGCAGGTGGTACATACTACTAGAACTTCCAGATGGAGAGGATAGTCGAAGCACCTCATTGGGATCTTGAATGCGGGTCTCCGAAATGCAGCAGACATTGATAGCGAGGCTTTCCAAAGTTCTTGCCAACCCTACCTGCTGTCCGATTTGCATCAGCGTCCGAACATTGTAGGTAGCCAGCTTGAACGCGGCACGCGGTTTCAGGATATCTGTGTTAGATGTCACATTGGTAACAACCATTTTGAGGACTACTCACTAACATCTCGAAACGACACGGATAGGCTGGGAATCTCGACAAAGGCGAAGGGCTGTCGAAGGTTAAGAAGCCAAGGTTAGCAAAGGTAAAATACAGGAAACCCTGTATAAAAATAGAAGTAAGGTAGGAAGGAAATAAGTTGCTTGAAGGATCAATATTGCTTGGAATCATTTTTACTAGCGCGCGTTGAGTTTCAATGAGAGTTCGTTGCTTTAATTCATTCATTGTGTGCGGGCTGAGATACTGCCCGGGCGCCCAGACCGAAACAGGTGGTTTTATTAAGGGACCACCCCCGGAGCCTTTGACTTGGAGTCTAATCCGCAAGGCAGCGGAGCAGCGTCAGGAGCTGCATTCCCATGGTTGCCGGTGACCCATATGGGTTCATACGCCATTCGATCCGATTGGAAACTGGAGCCCATGTACCCCATGATAACTGCTTTTAGTTTAACCGCTATCCAGAAAACCTCCCTGACATGGTAGGACCTGTAGAGACAGAGTCCCAGTCAGTTCAGCTTGTTGGGTCATTGCGGTATTCAAGCCCGAATACCACGACAAGGTAGCATTTATCGGCTGGGACCGGAAAGTCCTGGGTTCGAATCCCAGTGGGTGCGTACTGCCGATGATTCCCAAACTTTTGTGTGATAGCATTCGACAACCTTTCTTTGTGTTATTTCTCTCTTTTCCTTTGCCTGCTTGCTTACCGCTTC